GCCTCAGGTGTAGTATGGTTACGCGCAAACACCCCGTTTCGCCCACACCCTTCTTGCCTTGGGAAGATCAACGAAAAAAAGGGAATATAAAAGTCCCACCCCCGTTCAACTCTACATTCATTTTACATTCATTGAAGATCTTCAATAAGAGTTTAATTCTCCCACCCCCGCTAAACTTCTACATTCATTGAAGATCTTCAACAAGGGTTCAATTCTCCCACCCGCGTTAAACCTCTACATTCATTGAAGATCTTCAATAAGGGTTTATTTCTCGAACCCCCGTTAAACTTCAACATTCATTGAAGGACTTCAATAAGGGTTTAATTCTCCCACCGGGGTTAAACTTCTACATTCATTGAAGATCTTCAATAAGGGCGGGTTTAATTCTCCCGCCGCGGTTAAACTTATATATTCGTTGAAGATCTGCATTAATGATGATGATGATGGTGATGATGATGATGGTGATGATGATGATGATGGTGATGATGATGATGATGTGGTGGAACGAACCCGCACAAGTCCCTCTGCTGTGCGTTCTGATCTAGAAGACCAAGTTAACAATAATGCTAAAATATTCCTTTTTTACCACGTTTTCAGCTCATACGAAGAAGGCGGGCCAACAGGCGCGGGCAAGACGAGGTGTTTGGCCGTATGGTTACATTTGTCTATCTGTTTGGCCGTATGGTTACATTTGTCTATCTCATCTCTACCTTCTTTTTTAAGCACTTTCTGCCAGGAATTATAGGCCTCAGGTGCAGGATGGTTACATTTTTCTATCTTAGTTTTACCTTCTGTTTCGAACACTTTCTGCAAGGAACTATGGACCTCAGACATAGGTTGATTACATCCCCACAAAGACACCTCACAAACAGTTTACAAACTGCTTGCGGACATTTACCAATTTTTACCTACCCCCCGCCCCATCCGTAGAGTACGGGGGGGGGTGGCAGGGAATAATTGGTATAATGCGATTCTGCTTCTTGCCAACTGGTATGCATGTTAAAACTATCTTATTTATCATTTGTGCACAGCATCCGCCGTTCCATTTTCTCGTTGCTCGGGCACGTCCCGCATAAAGTCAACTCTACTGGGCCACGGGGTTGATCTTGGAATGATACTCTGCAACTAAACAGCCGTTGGTTCTATGTTAGTTGTTTTTTATCCACCTATAAGTACCGAGCGTTACCATAGTGTTCAAACCACTGTTGAAGTTGAAAGCGTGCCTTTTGAAAAAATAGAAGATAGAAATGTTGTGTTGGCATCTTGAACCATCTGCTTCGAGTGAACTGTAAATCACCGAAATAGTTTGTAAAGCATTGATATCAATCCCAAAGTTGGCGGAGAACATGTATAGTATAGACAACTATAAACTCAAAACTATATAATATATATGTAGATACTGGGTGCCAGTCGTAGCCTCAATGCTACTATAACACGCTGCTCCCAATAGGGCCTTACCTTTTGTGAGTGGTCGGATCAACTGATCTGCTGCGTCCTGTGTTACAGAGACAACTAAAGAATAGTCTTGCTGGAGACATTGTGTCAGAAGGCAAGCTGGCTGAGGACAGCTTTGGTGCTGACTGGCTATGGCTGGCTGGTGCAGTTGCATTCTTGCAGCTGGCTGCCATATGTGCAGCCCGCTAGGTTCAAGGCAGCTTCAGTGCCCACTGGCTACAGCTGGTTGGTGCAGATACATTCTGACAAGGTTGAGACTTAAGGCTTGACTAATCAAAGATGATGGGACAGCCGACCCATGTTGAATCAGTCTCTGCTTATTCTCTTTCTCTTCACACGATTTCTCCTGACAACTTGATGCCATATTTTATTGAGTTTTCTTTTTCTGGACATAGCAAATCTAACTTTCCATCCAATATATCTGCATACGCAACATATGAATCTAGTCTGGTTCTGTGCAGGCTGGCCCTCCAGCATCAGAGGACTCCACGGGAAGCCGGAGACCAGGGGCAGGTTTGGTTTCCAGTATGGATCAGCAAGGTTGGGCTTCAACATCCTTTCGGTCCAAGCTACCTATGAAACGTTGCTCATTAAGAAGATTGTCTTACGTCCACAAGCCGGCGACTTCACAAGAGTCGGGAGGAAGGGTGGGAACATTTCAATGAAAGCATCTTTTGCCAGACGTGGCCGAAACTATATCTGGTAAAGGATGCGTTATTCATCATGCAGATCTACTATGCCCCATTAACCACTCCAATTGCATGTGATGCACGCAGTCCCTGGCATGTCGGCGCCTAGCCTGGGCATTGATCATGGGAATGGCATGCAGTTGCTTGCTATGGTTGTTTCTGCGGAGAATTTGTATAGGTGTCTTCTGTTGGCCTCTACTCAAAACCACGCTTCTCTGCCTGTTTCATTTCAATCTTTGCGCTCTGTCCTGCGCCCGGCTGGTCTCCTAAAAGTTATCATGCTCAGATCTGCTGGCAAACATGTTATCGCCGTCACCAGTGTCTATAACTATGTATAGGTATGCAATGCTTGTGGCGCATTGGTATACCTTTCACTAGGTTTGATTTCGGCATGTTTCTGAGCCAAGGTGCTGCGCAGTTGATGTACATAGCGACACTGGCTGCAACCGCACTAATGCACTGGTGACCTATCATTTCGTGGAATATGGTCCAAGCATGAGTCGTGCGTAATTTAACACCTGCAAGCCTCCACTCCACGCACGTTTTTTTGACCTCACCAAATCGCGTCCCTTACTTCTCTTTGGAAAGATACGGGCGACTGTGCACGCCAGCCCTCTGGATGCCCTTTGACCTCGTTAGGTTGAACGGGGTCCTGTGGCCTTTTGCAGCTGGGCGCTTTCTGGCCGCGGCAGGGCGTTTGGCCCGAAATTGCTTGAGGCGTTGCGCCTCTTTTTGCCGAGCTTTCTCCATGGGAAGCTCTGCTTTGTTCCTTCCTGCCCATGCTACCCATTCCTCCGGCGCCCAAAGCCCGCAACCAATTCTACGCGCCAAGACATGGCTGCTGAGCATCTGTCTGGCCGTTGGTGAATACAGGGCAGAATTGTGCGCCAACAGCTTTGAAAGGGTAAGGATGCTCAGCTTCAGTTTCAGCGTCGCAGGGTGTAGGTTTTGCGTCTGCCGAAACCATCCGTTGATCTCCGCATGCAAGCTTTCATTGCTGGTGGTGCCAACTGGAAGCAGGATGTTCTCGGCTTTGGAAAAAAGGGAGCCTGCAAGATTCATTGAATTTAATATTTAAATATATTTAATATTTTTAAATAGGGAAAATATTTAAATATTAAAATACTAAATTATTTTAATATTTAAAAATTTTAAATATTTTTGAATAAGGAAAATATTTAAATATTAAAATATTAAATTATTTTAATATTTAAATGTTTTAAATATTTTAAATATTTTAAATATTAAAATATTTCTGGAAATTGGTATCCTGCAAGCTTCATTGAATTAAAATATTTAAATGTATTTAATGTTTTTAAATAGGGAAAATATTTAAATATTAAAATATTAAATTATTTTAATATTTAAATATGTTAAATATTTTTGAATAAGGAAAATATTTAAATATTAAAATATTAAATTATTTTAATATTTAAATATTTTAAATATTTTTGAATAAGGAAAATATTTAAATATTAAAATATTAAATTATTTTAATATTTAAATGTTTTAAATATTTTAAATATTAAAATATGTCTGGAAATTGGTAGCCTGCAAGATTCATTGAATTTAATATTTAAATATATTTAATATTTTTAAATAGGGAAAATATTTAAATATTAAAATATTAAATTATTTTAATATTTAAATAATAATATTTTAAATATTTTTGAATAAGGAAAATATTTAAATATTAAAATATTAAATTATTTTAATATTTAAATGTTTTAAATATTTTAAATATTTTAAATATTAAAATATTTCAGGAAATTGGTATCCTGCAAGCTTCATTGAATTAAAATATTTAAATGTATTTAATGTTTTTAAATAGGGAAAATATTTAAATATTAAAATATTAAATTATTGTAATACTTAAATATTTTCAATATTTTTGAATAGGGAAAATATTTAAATATTAAAATATTAAATTATTTTAATATTTAAATATTTTAAATATTTTTGAATAAGGAAAATATTTAAATATTAAAATATTAAATCATACTAATATTTAAATGTTTTAAATATTCTAAATATTTTAAATATTAAAATATTTCTGGAAATTGGTAGCCTGCAAGATTCATTGAATTTAATATTTAAATATATTTAATATTTTTAAATAGGGAAAATATTTAAATATTAAAATATTAACTTATTTTAATATTTAAATATTTTAAATATTTTTGAACAAGGAAAATATTTAAATATTAAAATATTAACCTATTTCAATATTTATATATTTAAAATATTTTTGAATAAGGAAAATATTTAAATATAAAATAGTTTTATATATTTCTGGTGCTCACTCAAATTGTCCACAAATTGGATAATCACATAGACCCAATTATTCTCTCGTACGGGGGGGGGTTCGGAGGGGGGTACGGGGTGACGTATCTCTTGCGGACTTTCAACCCCCCCCAATGTAAATCTTCCGGGGCACGGTTTTTGACGTAGGAGGGGTCTAACATACATATAGCCTTCCCCATCGGGAAAAAATACGAAGGGGTCAAAATTGTTGCTTACATTTTTTGAACGTCCCACGTGCTTACACCCACGAAAAGGGTGGTGATCATATATATATATACATATTAGATGGCACATATTACAAATGATTTTCTCCACATGTTCCCTTCAACCATTCCATTGACAGTTCCGTTTACAGCCCACACCTGTTCCACAGTCCAGGACACCTGAGGCCCGACAGCATGTGATGCCGGGTAATCCCACCAGACAATATGCTATAATTATATATAATAGATTATAACTATATACCTCGTATAACCCTTCAATCATGGACAATTGGCAAAATCGGCAGCTTTGTTTGTGCAAGTCATTGACTGGTTACTGAAATATGTTCGTGAATATGACCATAAATGTAATGCACCTAACATCACCTAACAATTACCAAACAAAACACCGTGAACAGATCGGGGCTTCTTCAACAGCACATCAGGAAGGTCCCAGAATTGGCGGAAGATGGCCCCAAAATGAATAAATCCAGTACTAGACCATGGGTTCTGGGGGAGTGTTTAGTATTAGTGGAATGGGATGATGATTTTAAACAATTCACTTAACAGCCATCAGCGCTAAAAAGAAAAAACTCGAAGTCTTCTCTTCAACTCAGGCCCGGGCCTATCTCAAGAGGAGTTTCCTCACTCCGAATCTCTTCCTGGCCGAGGCCTAGGCACCTGACCTGTTTTTGTCCATGAATCATAGTGGACACGGACTGCAGTTTCGAAGTTCAACTGGCTGTTCCAATGAAAATCCTCGCAACTTGTGGTCGCCCCCAGGTCATCCCCTCGGCAGCGCCGGTCCTTGTGGTTCTTCGTCCAGCTTGGCTTTGCAGCACTGGCAGCAAACACAGCAAGCCATGCTGGCTCCGACAATGCCCAGGACACAGGCTGCCCAACCGAACACCACCAAGTAGACGAAGATGATGCCAAGTGCTTGGCAAGCACTGGCCCAGACCTGACATGCGACTGCCAGTCTTCAAGACTTCAGTCTTGAATCAATACGTACCTGCTGGTCCCTGGTGTCGATACGTTTCGATCCTACTACCTGCTACCTGCTACCTTCATTTCACGAAAGTTTCAGCAAACTTTGAGCACCAAGTCTGAGGTTTGCCAGTGCTTTTCTGAAATGCCTTCACCCCAATTTTCTCCCAGAGGTCCCCACAGAAAAGGTGACAAGACACCTTCTTTTCCTCATCTGTGCACGGAGTGCAAGCATCGTTGCATGCTGCATCCACGAAGGGCACGCACGAGCCCAGTGCTCCAAAGAGCGGAATGATCAAAGCCAGCAGTCCCATCACAATCCCAATGGCACCGATCACCTACTACAGAGTTGTTTTTGAAATCAAAACGTGTCGTACCTTTCCGTGCAGCCGAGGTTTTTCAAAAAACTGCCATCAAGTCATTTCGAAAGCCTTGTGAAAAGCTGTTTTTTTCCACCCAACCAGGCAGTCCCACCTTGCCGTACTGCTTCAAGACACCACAGCACAAAGGCAGTGAGACAAAGATGATCACCAGGATTCCCACTACGATACCGCCAATGGAACCGCCCCACAGCGATGCAGCATATGCTTTCTGGCACCAAGAGATGGAGGATGAGGATGCACGGCTGAAAATCAACAAAGTAGCTGGCAAATGGATATCCATTCCCCCAAACTTGTTCACATATTGCTATAGTTATCCACTGCTAAAAATACAATAAGAAAAAATGCCTCATAAGAATGACCCGCTGAGACTAAGAGATAGTACGCAGCAATATATGCAGCTTGCTGCTGCCTGATACATCAGTGATCAATGCTTCAATTCATGTTGGATGGTTCCAACTCCAGAAACCCGCTTAGTGATGCAATTCGGGGAAACCTACAAATTTGCTACGCTGCTAGTGCATCAGCGACCACCAAGCAGCCAATCATCAGTAATCTGATGTTGTTTGTTTCTGAGACCATTGAAGCAGCCAAACTTGTAGGGATCTGCAAATTGGTATGCGGTACTAATATCATGCATAGCTATAGGCTATGGCTAGAGTCCCTGGAGACTCGCCTCAGCGAAACCGTTCAAATCTTCGCATGCCAATGCAAGCGCCGCGATGCTTGCAACCAAACAAGAGCGCACACCAAACATGTTGACCTGGGAACGACATGTTCCAAGGCAACTAGTCAACCCTGCACAAATCATCATAAATCCTGGGTAGGCAGAGGCTGGAAACCCTTGCAAATGATGTTCAATTCTGGACATGGCACCTCTACAGATCACCAAGCTTCAACACGAATTACCCTCTGGTGTCATCAAACATGGCCTGGAAAATCCTCCAATTGAGTTGGCTGATTTTCCAGCCACATTCGACTTTCCCGAAGGATCCCGATGGATTCCGAAGGTACATACCAAAGCCAAGCAAAATCAAGGGATTGCTTCTGCTTCAACTCACACTGAGGCTGCGGCTTAGTCAGACAGGTCCTTGAGCACACTTGATCTGAAACTTTGCGGTAGGCACAGCAAACACGGTAGCCAGATCACGATCTTAAGGTCTTCTAGCAATATGGAACTTTGGAGACAAAGATGCGGATACCTCTTCCTTGAATATCTGTCAATCATACACAATTCAGCTTTGACAAATCTTATTATCGAAACAACTATGGTTTAGGGGGTCTCCCAAGATTAATGAATCACACATTGTAGCATCTTCCAACCCTTCCAGCATTAAAAAAAACCGTGGGATGAGCCATGCAGGCGGCCTGATAAGTGTATGTTTTGTGGAAATTTTGAGAACTCGAAACCTGATCCCATGGGTCAAAACCTGCACCTTTCTCTTCCTCTGAGTTGGAAAATTGATCTGCGCATGGTTGTCAGGAAATCTTTTTCGGGATAGCTTTCTGATTTTTTGAAAAACAAAAAGCGAAGGCTATCTCTGGTTGGTAGGGTAGACATTGAAGCAGATTTCCGCTGGGTTCTCGCCCACATGACTTAGGCCGCTCAAAAGTGGAAACCCAAAACTTGGCCTAAAGTGGATCCAAAACTGATACGTTCCACCGCCAAAAATGGCAAAACATGTCAAGATCTCCAGGAAAAATGCAACGCAGTGCCAGCTTCAATCCCGTCACGGTGGTCAGACTTGCTGCAGAGAGTGGCATACATATCATGCTCCTTCCATGATCATTCCTCGCGATTGTCTGCGTGACTGTGGGAAAAGGGTTCTGCTAGATCTCCTCCATTTCATATCAATGACTTCCCAGCTACCTGCGTTCGCACCTTCCGGAAAATCACAAGAAGGGGTTGCTTCTTACGGGAACGGGATAAGCTTGTTTGGATTCTTCATACAAAACGGAGGCCCTCTATACCAGAGGTTTCACAACACCGCAACGATCGGCATCTCACAGGAGAAATCAGCCTCAGAAATCTTAGTCCTAGTCGGCAAGGTTCCTCTCCCAACTGCTGCTCTACCTCCCTGCCATCATTTCCGCTCTCCGACAGGCAGAAAAGAGCATCTGGCTGTTCCCATCTTGAAGGATCGTGAATCCCACAGAGGCACAACACAGGAAGCTTTTTGTCAAAGGAGACTTGGAACCAGGCCATTCAGAATTAACCATCATAATTTTAGGATAATATCCTATAACCATAGGATATTATTAACCATCATTAACCCACCATATTTATAGTGTCCAACAATTTGGATACATAAATCATGTATCACTAACTGCCTCAAATCCTGAGGATTGATTGACAAACAACTTCCCACAAATTGCAATACCTGGTGAAGATCTTCAACACCAGGCCAAGACAAAAACAGAGAAAGCGCGTAGTGTCAAGAAGGTTCCTGTGTAGGTGGCAGCCCGGCCACTGAACCTGAGAAAAAAATCCTTATGATTCGTGTGATCATTTGTGATCCCATTGGGAATTCTCTAGAAATCCCGCTCCTTGGAACCTCCTTTGTGCAAAGTTCTAGCCAGACTGACTGGCAGCGTACACGTGCAGCAGCCTCATATGGCTAAGTCAACCTCAAGAGCACAGTTCGTGAGGCGAGCATCATTCTAACCTACGGTGGCGACAAACCACTTGAGATAATTTCAATTGGGGAAAGGCTGGTCTTGGTTGTCTCATCTCAGAAAAACAAACAACAGCTATACGGTGTCGAAACGTGTCGAAGCGAAGTCGGGTTCTGAGACCTGGGGGCATCTGGCTGATGCTCAGCACTGCTAATTTAATCTTGATACAAGGAACGTTCATCTGTCAGTTCAAATATACATGCCACACGTTGATTTCACTTCAGTTGCCACCAAGACGCTGTCGGCTGCTGTCTGTCGACAAGCCTGGTCATGTTTTTGGAGAGCCCCCATCCTTCTAGGACAAAGCTGCCCACCTAATTGTCAACGAAACTGTTGCACAGCAACACGCAAATATCACACTCAGATCATCCACGTATGGGGCATCTACCGTTGACATGCACTGACCCTGAGAATCCACAATTGCGCAACATTTCTGTACATATGCCAGCACCGTGGAAATTGTGTGCAGTTCAGCCAGCCTGGCAAACGGAGCGACGGCGTCAGTGCCTTGAGTGCTCATCCTGACATGCCAGCTGGCTAGACACCAGCACACAACTTGAAACCACCCTGACCCTGGGGGCAATTAGCCTCAAACCAAACCAGACCAATAAAAAGAAACACGTTAAAAAGGAACGTAGGCTATAATCAAAGGAAGTTTAGCTAGTAAACTTCCGAGCTACCATCATGTCAACCACGTCAACCACCCATCATTGAGTAGTTGGGAAATGTAACAGTTGAAGCGTGTGAATTCACGGGTGAAAAAACTTTTGCGCGCCGCCGAAGTAGGGTCATGTAGGGTCTCTGTTTCCGCGGTTGCGGGCCTCGTTGTTGACCAAAAAGTGCATGAGACTGTAGCAAGAGCTCGGTTTTAATTATATATATATAATATGCTTTTCCCGCTGCAGGCACGTGGCACTTTTGGAAGATGAGGTCGGCAAAATGTGCACCAGACAGTAGCGAGAGCTCCATTTCATATGAAAATCTTTGAAAACTGGCATGTTCGGAGCACTTTTGGCAGATCAGGTTGGCAAAACGCGCACGAGACTGCAGCGAGAATCGGTTGGCACTTCAAATCGCAAAAAACTGAAGGGATCGGAGTCCGGAGCACTTTTAATCTTTTGGAGGATGAGGTTGGCAAAATTCATTGATTCATTGATTCGTTGGTTGCTTGTTTCTTTGATACAATGATTCATTGACTCCTTGATTCATTGATTCATTGATTCGCTGATGCACTGATTCATTGACTCACGTACTGAATCATTGGTGTGTTGATTTTTGATTCATTGATCCACTGATTTATTGATTGATTTCTCATAGCCATTTCATTTTTTTCGAAACTTCCGCCCCGGCATGGGCTGAGCTTTTCAGCCGAGCTTCATGCTGGCGCTGCTGTTCCCACAACAACTGGTGGGGCGCCCTGCTTCACCGCCGGGTCATCAAGCTTGGCTTTGCAGCACTGGCAGCAAACGCAGCAAGCCAGGCTGGCTCCCACAATGCCCAGGACACAGGCTGCCCAACCGAACACCACCAAGTAGACGAAGATGATGCCAAGCGTTTGGCAAGCACTGGCCCAGATCTGAGACAGCTGCAAGTCTTCGAGTCTTCAGTTTTGAATACATACCTACTGGCCCATTGCATCGATACTGTACATTTCGATCCTATTTCCTGAGTGCCTGCAATCATCCGCTACCTGCTACCTTCATGTCGCGAAAGTTTCGGTACACGAAAGTTTCGGTACACGAAAGTTTCGGTACACTTTGAGCACCAAGTCTGAGGTTTGCCAGTGCTTTTCCGAAATGCCTTCACCCCAATTCTCTCCCAGAGGTCCCCACAGAAAAGGTGACAAGACACCTTCTTTTCCTCATCTGTGCACGGAGTGCAAGCATCGTTGCATGCTGCATCCACGAAGGGCACGCACGAGCCCAGTGCTCCAAATAGCGGAATGACCAAAGCCAGCACTCCCAGAACGATGCCAATGGCACCCAGCACCTACGCGGCTGGCGGCTGATTCGAAATCAAAACAAGTTGCCTCTCAAGCATCTTTCACAAGTGCAGCCACGCAATCATCAAAACCAGGACCTACGGTCCGACCCACGAGGTAGCCCCAGAAATCTTGCCCGCCTTCCCGTACTGCTTCAAGACACCACAGCACAAAGGCAGAGACATCAGGACGATCACCAGGATTCCCACTACCATACCGCCAATGGAACCTCCCCACAGCGATGCAGCATACGCATCCTCGCTACAGACATGGATGGAGCGGCCCCGACATGGAAAGTGCGACTATGTAACTCAAACCGACTCAACCCCAAGTTGCCTATGACGAATCTTTCCCAGGGCCCAGAAGGGGGCTCTGTCGTTAATGAAATCAGTCGTCACCCAGTTCTGGAACATCAAGCTGGAAAGTGCAAGTTCCTACAGACGTAGACGTGCACTCTTGCAGTTAAAGGAGCTTGGATCACCCAAATGCGACCCCAATCTAGGATCATCTAGGCTGTGGGATACGGATTGGGGCACCGGGGCACATCCTACTGCAAGCAACTGCAAGTATCCTACTATCTGACATTCTGGAAGTCGGGTTAGTCGGTGCCTGATCGAAACCGTTCACATCTTGGCACGCCAATGCAAAAGCGACGCTGCTTGCAACCATCAAAGAGCGCATTGCAGCCATGTCGACCTTGGTCCACCAACATCAAGCAAGTTGCCCCAGGCATCTCAGAGTTGAAATCACATTGCAAAAGACAAATGTTTCACATTGAGGTCAGAGCGATACTGCGGGCTTCAGCTTTGCTGGGTCTGCTTGCCAATACAGTTGATCTTTCAAACTTGCAGCAGAAAGCACGCCGCATCAAACTCAGCCTATTATACCCTATTTGCATCTATTCGTCTTGAAGACCAGTCTCCTGACCAACTGAATGCCCATTGAAACCCTCCCAAAAAAGGAATCATGATACAAAATAGATACCTTCTACAAGCGGTTTGAAAATACCACAACCATAGAGCACGTGGTCGGAAAGGTTCCTCTCCCAACTGCTCAAATTCTGCCCACCCCTGTTAATTTTGGCCCTGTCACATGTGGCAGAAAGCAAACTCTTGGAGTTGCTCCAGCAGGAAGATTTTTGACCCCAAACGAGACTCGGAACCAGGCCAACAATTTCATACATAAATCATCGTTCAGAATCATTCATATTCATCACCAAATCTCCAGAATTGAGACGGATTGGGACCACGGCTTTGAGGATTGACAAAAAGCTTCCCACAAATTGCAATACCTGGTGAAGATCTTCAACACCAGAAGGCAAAAACAGAGAAAGTGCATGGTGTCAAGGAGGTTCCTGTGTAGGTGGCAGCCATTGAATCGGAGAACAATGCTCTGTGATTCGTTGGATCTGTGATCCCTTTGGTGATCCCTTTGGGAATTCTCGGAATTCTCTGGAAATTCCCCCCTCCTCGGAACCTCCTTGTGCCATTCTCTAGCCAGACATAGCCAGACTGACTGGCGAATTACACGTGCGGCAGCTGCATACGCTCAGTCAACCTCAACAGCACAGTTCGTGAGGCCCGAGTTGTTCCAACCTGTGCTTGCGAGCCACTTGACGCAATTTCAATGGGGATAAAATTGATTTCAAATTCTCAGACCAGTACTTTTCTTCCCTGGAGGAGGATATGGGGGCATCTGGGTGATGCTCAGCACCTCTCATCTTGATACAAAGACCGACGGCACGTTCATCTGCTAGTGCAAATATAAATACATGTCACACTTTGGCTCACTTCGGTTGCCACCGGGACACTGCCAGCTGCTGTCGACAAGCCTGATCGAGGAAATGGGCCATGTTGCCTATATCATTCTATATGTGTCTATTCAGGTCGTCATGTCCTTCGGGTTCCCCATCCTTCTGGGATAAAGACAGGAGACCTCTCAAAGAAACTGCTGCGCTGCAGTAACACTCAAATATCTCACCCGGATCATCCACGTATGGTCCGTATGGTGTATCTATTGACAGACGTTGACCCAAAACTCCCCATGTATGTAAAGAAAGCAGCAAAATGGGAGTCACGGCCAATACTGTCTGTGAAATCTGGTCTTGTTGGTTCACGACCCAGCCTGGCATTGGGAGCATCTGACTCCAGCACGGCATCACTGCCTTTTAGCGCTCCTGGCAAGCTGAGAGACGGATCAAAAAAGAATGATAGCAATACATAGACTTTGTTGATGGGTTAGATACAACTGATGTTTCATCTGGAACAATTTGTTTGATCAGGCAACGAGGGGATCGAAATACTCTAGATTGACACTTGAAGGTATCAAAAAAAATAATCCTGGCTTTGGGGGCTAGTAGCCTTCCTCACACCCCCAAAAAACAACGCCATTAGGATCGGGCACTGGCTTAGAAGACATGTGTTGCGCTCAAATAGAGGTTTCATGCTGGACACTTCTGGTACCCGTATCTTTCATGCCAACCCAGCTTTTCAGCCGAGCTTCATGCTGGCGCTGCTGTTCCCACAACAACTGGTGGGGCGCCCTGCTTCACCGTCGGGTCATCAAGCTTGGCTTTGCAGCACTGGCAGCAAACGCAGCAAGCCAGGCTGGCTCCCACAACGCCCAGGACACAGGCTGCCCAACCGAACACCACCAAGTAGACGAAGATGATGCCAAGTGTTTGGCAAGCACTGGCCCAGATCTGAGATGCAGCTACCAGTCTTATTGAAGTCTTCAGCTTTGAATCAATACCTAGTGTCCCATTGCTGCAATACATTTCAATACTGTTTCCTGGCTGCCTACAATCAAGAGTTGCACTGTTACATGCTGCATCCGCTACCTTGCTACCTTCATGTCACGAAAGTTTCGGTACACTTTGAGCACCAAGTCTGAGGTTTGCCAGTGCTTTTCTGAAATGCCTTCACCCCAATTCTCTCCCAGAGGTCCCCACAGAAAGGTGACAAGACACCTTCTTTTCCTCATCTGTGCACGGAGTGCAAGCATCGTTGCATGCTGCATCCACGAAGGGCACGCACGAGCCCAGTGCTCCAAATAGCGGAATGACCAAAGCCAGCACTCCCAGAACGATGCCAATGGCACCAAGCACCTACGCGGCTGACGGCTGATTCGAAATCAAAACAAGTTGCCTCTCAAGCATCTTACACAAGTGCAGCCACGCAATCATCAAAACCAGGTGACACCTACGGTCCCACCCACGAGAGAAATCTTGCCCGCCTTGCCGTACTGCTTCAAGACACCACAGCACAAAGGCAGAGACATCAGGACGATCACCAGGATTCCCACTACCATACCGCCATGGAACCTCCCCACAGCGATGCAGCATACGCATCCTCGCTACAGACATGGATGGAGCGGCCCCGACATGGAAAGTGCGACTATGTAACTCAAACCGACTCAAACCCAAGTTGCCCATGACGAATCTTTCCTGGGGCCCCAAAGGGGGCTCTGTCGTTAATGAAATCAGTCGTCACCCAGTTCTGGAACATCAAGCTGGAAAGTGCAAGTTTCTACAGACATGCACTCTTGCAGTTAAAGGAGCTTAGATCACCCAAATGCGACCCCCCATCTACGATCATCTAGGCTGTGGGATGCGGACTGGGGCACCGGGGCACATCCTACTGCAAGCAACTGCAAGTATCCTACTATCTGACATCACATCTGGAAGTCGGGTTGCCTGATCGAAACCGTTCACATCTCGGCACGCCAATGCAAAAGCGACGCTGCTTGCAACCATCAAAGAGCGCATTGCAGCCATGTCGACCTTGATCCACCAACATCAAGCAAGTTGCCCCAGGCATCTCAGAGTTGAAATCACATTGCAAAAGACAAATGTTTCACATTGAGGTCAGAGCGATACTGCGGGCTTCAGCTTTGCTGGGTCTGCTTGCCAATACAGCTGATCTTTCAAACTTGCAGCAGAAAGCACGCCGCATCAAACTCAGCCTATTATACCCTATTTGCATCAATTCGTCTTGAAGACCAGTCTCCTGACCAACTGAATGCCCATTGAAACCCTCCCTAAAAAGGAATCATGATACAAAATAGATACCTTCTACAAGCGGTTTGAAAATACCACAACCATAGAGCACGTGGTCGGAAAGGTTCCTCTCCCAACTGCTCAAATTCTGCCCACCCCTGTTAATTTTGGCCCTGTCACATGTGGCAGAAAGCAAACTCTTGGAGTTGCTCCAGCAGGAAGATTTTTGACCACAAACGAGACTCGGAACCAGGCCAACAATTTCATACATAAATCATCGTTCAGAATCATTCATATTCATCACCAAATCTCCAGAATTGAGACGGATTGGGACCACGGCTTTGAGGATTGACAAAAAGCTTCCCACAAATTGCAATACCTGGTAAAGATCTTCAACACCAGAAGGCAAAAACAGAGAAAGTGCATGGTGTCAAGGAGGTTCCTGTGTAGGTGGCAGCCATTGAATCGGAGAACAATGCTCTGTGATTCGTTTGATCTGTGATCCCTTTGGTGATCCCTTTGGGAATTCTCGGAATTCTCTGGAAATTCCCCCCTCCTCGGAACCTCCTTGTGCCATTCTCTAGCCAGACATAGCCAGACTGACTGGCGAATTACACGTGCGGCAGCTGCATACGCTCAGTCAACCTCAACAGCACAGTTCGTGAGGCCCGAGTTGTTCCAACCTGTGCTTGCGAGCCACTTGACGCAATTTCAATGGGGATAAAATTGATTTCAAATTCTCAGACCAGTACTTTTCTTCCCTGAGGAGGATATGGGGGCATCCGGGTGATGCTCAGCACCTCTCATCTTGATACAAAGACCGACGGCACGTTCATCTGCTAGTGCAAATATAAATACATGTCACACTTTGGCTCACTTCGGTTGCCACCGGGACACTGCCAGCTGCTGTCGACAAGCCTGATCGAGGAAATGGGCCATGTTGCCTATATCATTCTATATGTGTCTATTCAGGTCGTCATGTCCTTCGGGTTCCCCATCCTTCTGGGATAAAGACAGGAGACCTCTCAAAGAAACTGCTGCGCTGCAGTAACACTAAAATATCTCACCCGGATCATCCACGTATGGTCCGTATGGTGTATCTATTGACAGACGTTGACCCAAAACTCCCCATGTATGTAAAGAAAGCAGCAAAATGGGAGTCACGGCCAATACTGTCTGTGAAATCTGGTCTTGTTGGTTCACGACCCAGCCTGGCATTGGGAGCATCTGACTCCAGCACGGCATCACTGCCTTTTAGCGCTCCTGGCAAGCTGAGAGACGGATCAAAAAAGAATGATAGCAATACATAGACTTTGTTGATGGGTTAGATACAACTGATGTTTCATCTGGAACAATTTGTTTGATCAGGCAACGAGGGGATCGAAATACTCTAGATTGACACTTGAAGGTATCAAAAAAAATAATCCTGGCTTTGGGGGCTAATAGCCTTCCTCACACCCCCAAAAAACAACGCCATTAGGATCGGGCACTGGCTTAGAAGACATGTGTTGCGCTCAAATAGAGGTTTCATGCTGGACACTTCTGTACCCGTATCTTTCATGCCAACCCAGCTTTTCAGCCGAGCTTCATGCTGGCGCTGCTGTTCCCACAACAACTGGTGGGGCGCCCTGCTTCACCGCGGGTCATCAAGCTTGGCTCAGCACTGGCAGCAAACGCAGCAAGCCAGGCTGGCTCCCAAGCCCAGGACACAGGCTGCCAACCGAACACCACCAAGAGACGAAGATGCCAAGTGTTTGGCAACACTGGCCCAATCTGAGATGCAGCTACAGTCTTATTGAAGTCTTCAGCTTTGAATCAATACCAGTGTCCCATTGCTGCAATACATTTCAATACTTTCCTGCTGCCTACAATCAAGAGTTGCACTGTACATGCTGCATCCGCTACCTGCTACCTTCATGTCACGAAAGTTTCGGTACACTTTGAGCACCAAGCTGAGGTTTGCCAAAATGCCTTCACCCCAATTCTCTCCCAGAGGTCCCCACAGAAAAGGTGACAAGACACCTTCTTTTCCTCATCTGTGCACGGAGTGCAAGCATCGTTGCATGCTGCATCCACGAAGGGCACGCACGAGCCCAGTGCTCCAAATAGCGGAATGACCAAAGCCAGCACTCCCAGAACGATGCCAATGGCACCAGCACCTACGCGGCTGGCGGCTGATTCGAAATCAAAACAAGTTGCCTCTCAAGCATCTTTCACAAGTGCAGCCACGCAATCATCAAAACCAGGTGACACCTACGGTCCCACCCACGAGAGAAATCTTGCCCGCCTTGCCGTACTGCTTCAAGACACCACAGCACAAAGGCAGAGACATCAGGACGATCACCAGGATTCCCACTACCATACCGCCAATGGAACCTCCCCACAGCGATGCAGCATACGCATCCTCGCTACAGACATGGATGGAGCGGCCCCGACATGGAAAGTGCGACTATGTAACTCAAACCGACTCAAACCCAAGTTGCCCATGACGAATCTTTCCTGGGGCCCCAAAGGGGGCTCTGTCGTTAATGAAATCAGTCGTCACCCAGTTCTGGAACATCAAGCTGGAAAGTGCAAGTTTCTACAGACATGCACTCTTGCAGTTAAAGGAGCTTAGATCACCCAAATGCGACCCCCCATCTAGGATCATCTAGGCTGTGGGATGCGGACTGGGGCACCGGGGCACATCCTACTGCAAGCAACTGCAATATCCTACTATCTGACATTCTGGAAGTCGGGTTGCCCTGATCGAAACCGTTCACATCTTGGCACGCCAATGCAAAAGCGACGCTGCTTGCAACCATCAAAGAGCGCATTGCAGCCATGTCGACCTTGGTCCACCAACATCAAGCAAGTTGCCCCAGGCATCTCAGAGTTGAAATCACATTGCAAAAGACAAATGTTTCACATTGAGGTCAGAGCGATACTGCGGGCTTCAGCTTTGCTGGGTCTGCTTGCCAATACAGTTGATCTTTCAAACTTGCAGCAGAAAGCACGCCGCATCAAACTCAGCCTATTATACCCTATTTGCATCTATTCGTCTTGAAGACCAGTCTCCTGACCAACTGAATGCCCATTGAAACCCTCCCAAAAAGGAATCATGATACAAAATAGATACCTTCTACAAGCGGTTTGAAAATACCACAACCATAGAGCACGTGGTCGGAAAGGTTCCTCTCCCAACTGCTCAAATTCTGCCCACCCCTGTTAATTTTGGCCCTGTCACATGTGGCAGAAAGCAAACAAACTCTTGGAGTTGCTCCAGCAGGAAGATTTTTGACCCCAAACGAGACTCGGAACCAGGCCAACAATTTCATACATAAATCATCGTTCAGAATCATTCATATTCATCACCAAATCTCCAGAATTGAGACGAATTGGGACCACGGCTTTGAGGATTGACAAAAAGCTTCCCACAAATTGCAATACCTGGTGAAGATCTTCAACACCAGAAGGCAAAAACAGAGAAAGTGCATGGTGTCAAGGAGGTTCCTGTGTAGGTGGCAGCCATTGAATCGGAGAACAATGCTCTGTGATTCGTTGGATCTGTGATCCCTTTGGTGATCCCTTTGGGAATTCTCGGAATTCTCTGGAAATCCCCCCTCCTCGGAACCTCCTTGTGCCATTCTCTAGCCAGACATAGCCAGACTGACTGGCGAATTACACGTGCGGCAGCTGCATACGCTCAGTCAACCTCAACAGCACAGTTCGTGAGGCCCGAGTTGTTCCAACCTGTGCTTGCGAGCCACTTGACGCAATTTCAATGGGGATAAAATTGATTTCAAATTCTCAGACAGTACTTTTCTTCCCTGGAGGAGGATATGGGGGCATCTGGGTGATGCTCAGCACCTCTCATCTTGATACAAAGACCGACGGCACGTTCATCTGCTAGTGCAAATATACATGTCACACTTTGGCTCACTTCGGTTGCCACCGGGACACTGCCAGCTGCTGTCGACAAGCCTGATCGGGAAATGGGCCATGTTGCCTATATCATTCTATATGTGTCTATTCAGGTCGTCATGTCCTTCGGGTTCCCCATCCTTCTGGGATAAAGACAGGAGACCTCTCAAAGAAACTGCGCTGCGCTGCAGTAACACTCAAATATCTCACCCGGATCATCCACGTATGGTCCGTATGGTGTATCTATTGACAGACGTTGACCCAAAACTCCCCATGTATGTAAAGAAAGCAGCAAAATGGGAGTCACGGCCAATACTGTCTGTGAAATCTGGTCTTGTTGGTTCACGACCCAGCCTGGCATTGGGAGCATCTGACTCCAGCACGGCATCACTGCCTTTTAGCGCTCCTGGCAAGCTGAGAGACGGATCAAAAAAGAATGATAGCAATACATAGACTTTGTTGATGGGTTAGATACAACTGATGTTTCATCTGGAACAATTTGTTTGATCAGGCAACGAGGGGATCGAAATACTCTAGATTGACACTTGAAGGTATCAAAAAAAATAATCCTGGCTTTGGGGGCTAATAGCCTTCCTCACACCCCCAAAAAACAACGCCATTAGGATCGGGCACTGGCTTAGAAGACATGTGTTGCGCTCAAATAGAGGTTTCATGCTGGACACTTCTGGTACCCGTATCTTTCATGCCAACCCAGCTTTTCAGCCGAGCTTCATGCTGGCGCTGCTGTTCCCACAACAACTGGTGGGGCGCCCTGCTTCACCGTCGGGTCATCAAGCTTGGCTTTGCAGCACTGGCAGCAAACGCAGCAAGCCAGGCTGGCTCCCACAACGCCCAGGACACAGGCTGCCCAACCGAACACCACCAAGTAGACGAAGATGATGCCAAGTGTTTGGCAAGCACTGGCCCAGATCTGAGATGCAGCTACCAGTCTTATTGAAGTCTTCAGCTTTGAATCAATACCTAGTGTCCCATTGCTGCAATACATTTCAATACTGTTTCCTGGCTGCCTACAATCAAGAGTTGCACTGTTACATGCTGCATCCGCTACCTGCTACCTTCATGTCACGAAAGTTTCGGTACACTTTGAGCACCAAGTCTGAGGTTTGCCAGTGCTTTTCCGAAATGCCTTCACCCCAATTCTCTCCCAGAGGTCGCAAAGAAAAGGTGACAAGACACCTTCTTTTCCTCATCTGTGCACGGAGTGCAAGCATCGTTGCATGCTGCATCCACGAAGGGCACGCACGAGCCCAGTGCTCCAAATAGCGGAATGACCAAAGCCAGCACTCCTAGAACGATGCCAATGGCACCCAGCACCTACGCGGCTGGCGGCTGATTCGAAATCAAAACAAGTTGCCTCTCAAGCATCTTACACAAGTGCAGCCACGCAATCATCAAAACCAGGACCTACGGTCCGACCCACGAGGTAGCCCCAGAAATCTTGCCCGCCTTCCCGTACTGCTTCAAGACACCACAGCACAAAGGCAGAGACATCAGGACGATCACCAGGATTCCCACTACCATACCGCCAATGGAACCTCCCCACAGCGATGCAGCATACGCATCCTCGCTACAGACATGGATGGAGCGGCCCCGACATGGAAAGTTAAAGGAGCTTGGATCACCCAAATGCAACCCCCAATCTAGGATCATCTAGGCCGTGGGATACGGACTGGGGCACCGGGGCGCATCCTACTGCAAGCAACTGCAAGTATCCTACTATCTGACATTCTGGAAGTCGGGTTAGTCGGGTTGCCTGATCGAAACCGTTCACATCTTGGCACGCCAATGCAAAAGCGACGCTGCTTGCAACCATCAAAGAGCGCATTGCAGCCATGTCGACCTTGGTCCACCAACATCAAGCAAGTTGCCCCAGGCATCTCAGAGTTGAAATCACATTGCAAAAGACAAATGTTTCACATTGAGGTCAGAGCGATACTGCGGGCTTCAGCTTTGCTGGGTCTGCTTGCCAATACAGTTGATCTTTCAAACTTGCAGCAGAAAGCACGCCGCATCAAACTCAGCCTATTATACCCTATTTGCATCTATTCGTCTTGAAGACCAGTCTCCTGACCAACTGAATGCCCATTGAAACCCTCCCTAAAAAGGAATCATGATACAAAATAGATACCTTCTACAAGCGGTTTGAAAATACCACAACCATAGAGCACATGGTCGGAAAGGTTCCTCTCCCAACTGCTCAAATTCTGCCCACCCCTGTTAATTTTGGCCCTGTCACATGTGGCAGAAAGCAAACTCTTGGAGTTGCTCCAGCAGGAAGATTTTTGACCCCAAACGAGACTCGGAACCAGGCCAACAATTTCATACATAAATCATCGTTCAGAATCATTCATATTCATCACCAAATCTCCAGAATTGAGACGGATTGGGACCACGGCTTTGAGGATTGACAAAAAGCTTCCCACAAATTGCAATACCTGGTGAAGATCTTCAACACCAGAAGGCAAAAACAGAGAAAGTGCATGGTGTCAAGGAGGTTCCTGTGTAGGTGGCAGCCATTGAATCGGAGAACAATGCTCTGTGATTCGTTGGATCTGTGATCCCTTTGGTGATCCCTTTGGGAATTCTCGGAATTCTCTGGAAATTCCCCCCTCCTCGGAACCTCCTTGTGCCATTCTCTAGCCAGACATAGCCAGACTGACTGGCGAATTACACGTGCGGCAGCTGCATACGCTCAGTCAACCTCAACAGCACAGTTCGTGAGGCCCGAGTTGTTCCAACCTGTGCTTGCGAGCCACTTGACGCAATTTCAATGGGGATAAAATTGATTTCAAATTCTCAGACCAGTACTTTTCTTCCCTGGAGGAGGATATGGGGGCATCTGGGTGATGCTCAGCACCTCTCATCTTGATACAAAGACCGACGGCACGTTCATCTGCTAGTGCAAATATAAATACATGTCACACTTTGGCTCACTTCGGTTGCCACCGGGACACTGCCAGCTGCTGTCGACAAGCCTGATCGAGGAAATGGGCCATGTTGTCTTTATCATTCTATATATGTCTATTCAGGTCGTCATGTCCTTCGGGTTCCCCATCCTTCTGGGATAAAGACAGGAGACCTCTCAAAGAAACTGCGCTGCGCTGCAGTAACACTCAAATATCTCACCCGGATCATCCACGTATGGTCCGTATGGTGTATCTATTGACAAACGTTGACCCAAAACTCCCCATGTATGTAAAGAAAGCAGCAAAAAGGGAGTCACGGGCAACACTGTCTGTGAATTCTGGTCTTGCTGGTTAACGACCCAGCCTGGCATTGGGAGCATCTGACTCCAGCATGGCGTCACTGCCTTTTAGCGCTCCTGGCAAGCTGAGAGGCGGATCAAAAAAGAACGACAGCAATACATAGACTTCGTTGGTGGGTTAGATACAACATGTTTTTGATCTGGAACAATTTATATGATCAGGCAACCAGGTGATCGAAATACTCTAGATTGACACTTGAAGGCTTCAAGGTATCAAAAAAATATTCCATACAGGGAAATACAGAGAATGACTATATTGTCCTGGCTTTGGTCCTCACACCCCCAGAAGAACAACGCCAACATGTTGCAACCCCAAGCCACTATCCTCCTATCTTCAAGTCCCAACTATCCTGGATTCAGGGGTAAAGAACGTTTCACGCTGGACACTTCTGGTACCCGTATCTTTCATGCCAACCCAGCTTTTCAGCCGAGCTTCATGCTGGCGCTGCTGTTCCCACAACAACTGGTGGGGCGCCCTGCTTCACCGTCGGGTCATCAAGCTTGGCTTTGCAGCACTGGCAGCAAACGCAGCAAGCCAGGCTGGCTCCCACAACGCCCAGGACACAGGCTGCCCAACCGAACACCACCAAGTAGACGAAGATGATGCCAAGTGTTTGGCAAGCACTGGCCCAGATCTGAGAT